CTAGTAATAAGGGAAACTTCCTTAAGTTAATAAAGAACATGTATTGTACAAAAATCTACATCATATTTAATGGTGAGAAACTCAAAGCTTTCGCACTGAGATCTGGAATAAGGCAAGCATGCCCCTTCTCTCCACTGCTTTTCAGCATTGCACTGGATATCCTGGCTAATACAGTGAGACAAGAAGAAGAAATAACAGGTATACAGATTGGGAGAATAAATAAAACTATCTTTGTTAGCAGATTAATGTTCATCTGTGTAGGAAATCAGAAAGAACTGACTAAAAAAATCCCTCCTGGAACTAATAAGTGATTACAGCAAGGAATCCCTCCTGGAACTAATAAGTGATTACTTGTAGGATGCAAGGTCAATGTAAAAGTCAATTGTTTTCCCATATATCAGCAACAAACCAAATGGAATTTTAAATTAAAAACACAATATCATTTAAATTAGCACCAAAAATGAATAAATTTAACAAAATACATATAAGACCCATGTGAGGAAAACTACAAAACTTTGATGAAAGAAATCAAAGGACTAAATAAATGGAGAGATAGTCCATGTTCACTAGTAGAAAGACAATACTGTCAAAACATGTTCCCAACTTGATCTATAGATTCAATCTTAATCTAAATCTCTGCCAAGTTATTTTGTGGATATAAAGAAAGAAACACCCTGATTTTGGAGAGATAAAAGACCCAGAATAGTCAGCACAGTATTGAAGAACAAAATTGGAAGACAGACTACGTGACTTTGAGATCTGCAATATAACTGTAGTAATTGTGACAGTGGAGTAGTGAGGAAAAAAAGACAAATGGATGAAATGGAATAGAAAGCTTATAAATAGACCCATATACATATAACAAACTAATCTTTGACAAAAAGAACAACGGAGCAAGGTTAGTCTTTCTCAACAAACAGTACTGGAACAAGTAGGCATCCACATGCAAAAAAATCAAATCTAGACACAGACATTAAACTAGGGGTGTCAAACTCATTTTCACTCGGGCCACATCAGCCTCATAGTTGCCTTCAAAGGGCTGAAATAATTTTAGGACTGCATAAATGTAACTATTCCTTAACTGTTAAGGAGTTGAAATTACATTTGGCCCTTTGAAGGCAACCATGAGGCTGATGCGGCCCCTGGTGAAAATGAGTTTGACACCCCTGCCTTAAATCTTTTATAAAATTTAACTCAAAATGGATCATAGACTTCAATGTAGAATGTAAAACTCTAAAGCCCTTAGAAGGTAACATAAGAAAAAAAGTAGATTACGTTGAGTATGACAATGACTTTTTAGATGTAACACCAAAGGCACAATTCGTTAAATAAATGATGGATAATCTGGACTTCACTACAATTAAAAACTTCTATAATAGACAATGCTATTAGAATAAGACAAGTTACTGAATAGGAGAAAATATTTGCAAAAGCATATGGAATAAAGTACTGCTATCCAAAATATACAAAAAGTAAAAACCTCTTAAAACTCCACAAGAAACAACTTGATTCTACAAAAGGCCAAAGACCTTAACAGATACCTCATCAAAGAAGATTAACAGATGACAAATAAGCACTTGAAAAGATGCTCCATATCATATGCCATCAGGGAAATGCAAATTCAAACAACGAGATACCACTACTATTAGAAGGCACAAATTCTGGGACCCTGACTACACCAAATGTGGAGCAACAGAAACTCTCATTCATTGCTAGTAGGAATACAAAATGCTGCAGGCACTTTAGAGATAGTTTGGTCGTTTCTTACGAAACTAAACATAATTTTATGTTATGATCCAGCAATCGTGCTCCTTGGTATTTACCCAAAGGAGTTGAAAACTTATGTACACTAAAAACCTGCATCCAGATATTTATAGCAGCTTTATTCATAATGGCCAAAACTTGGAAGCAACCAAGACGTTCTTCAGCAGGTGAATGGATAGATTGAGATTCATCCAGACAATGGAATATTATTCAGCACTAAAAAATGTAAGCTGTCAAGCCAAGAAAAGACATGCAGAAAATTTAAAATGCATATTACTAAGAAAAAGAAAACAATCTGAAAGGGCCATGTTATATATGATTCCAACTATATGATGTTCTGCATAAGGCAAAACTATGGAAATTAATTTAAAAAATCATTGGTTGCCTAAAACAGCTAAAAAAAATTAAGTCTTCAAAGCTGCAGACATTCAGTGGAGTGCATACTAACAGAACAGGATTTGGTAACTTTATGAAGTTTCTCTGTGTGTGTAGTTTTGTGGGCCTGGAAGGGAAAATCTAGAAGGTTATGGGTATGGCCAACAGTGCATGCTCCCAGTGCCTGGGCAGTAGTGAGGAGGAAGGACCTGGAATGAGGGAACAGAGCAGCAGCACCGCTGTAAGGACACCAGGGCCAGGGTGGGTGTGCCTGAGGATGGGGTCCAGGGCAAAGCAGGGCTCAAGCTGAAGAGGAAGCAGATATTGGATCTCTGGTTTTGGGTCCTGATCGCGGTTGGGCATAGGTGGGGTAGAGATCATTCATTGCTCTTTCTTATTTGCATTTTACTCTCCCTAAACTAACTGAAATAGAAAAAGGAAAATAGGTTGGAAAAAATAACAAATTAGTTAAGAAGGAAACTGTGTTGTTGTCATAGGACTTCTGTGAAATGACCACTCCTCCTTTGCATCCTCTTCTCTGACCCACCTTAAGGACCCTGAGTCACCAGAAACCTTAGTCAGAGGCTTCATTAAGCTATATCATAATCATAGCACATTTGATCAAATGGTTCAAATGTGTAATTATTTAATGTGGAAGACAAGAATTTATTCTCTTGATTCAAGCTAATAGTGTTATAATATTATATGATTTACAATGATATAAAGCTGATTTGAAGTTATTTCCTCAAGTAGAAATTATGGTAGAATAATTTCTGCTGAAAACATAAACTATAGATACTATGCTGTCTACATATGTTAGAAATTCATAGCAACTGCTGAAAAAAATGACGTCAATATCCATTAGAATTCAGCATTAAAAAACAACTTAAAAGTACTGACTTATTACGGCTTGAACCTTCAAACAGATGCTTCTTTCTAACCGGATTGAAGTGCTTTTTCCCTAGACTTGAACTGTTAAACTGCCTTTGATTGTTTTTTAAAATGAAAATATCTCTTGCCATATTTAGTTATTTATGTAATTAACTAATTCTTCTACCAACTAGAAAATGTTTTCTTTTAAATGCAAGTAGCTGTATGTATTTTTTAATTTTTAAAAGTAGTACATGTCTAGGTTTTAAAAAACTTGAAAATTCAGAAAACTGTAAACATGAAAAAATTCTCTATAATCCTGCCATCCAGATATAACTGTTATTATTTTATTGCATACCATCTAGGGATTTTCTATGCATAAAACACAGTTTAAAAAACATAAAAATGTACTCCTATTATAATACTGCTTTATACTGTTCCTTTTCTCTACATTAAATCTTGGACATTTTATAAAAATTTTTATTTAGTTATTTTTCAAGTACAGTTTTTTGTCTATTTCTCCCATTAAATCTTGGACACTTTTGTATGTTCATTAATGTAGGTTACATTGTTACTTTTTTAAAAAAAGATTTTATTGATTTATCTTTAGAAGGGAAAGGAAGAAGAGAGGGAGAGAAGTATCAATGTATGGTTGCCTCTCATGCACCTCCTGCTGGGAACTGGCCTGCAACCCAGCCTTGTGCCCTGACTGGGAATCGAACCACGATCCTCGGGTTCTCAGGCCCGTGCTCAATCCACTGAGCTACACCAGTCAGGGCACATTGTTACTTTTAAAGCAGCATAAATTCTAGTATGAGTATGCCACGTTTTAAACAATTCTTCTATTGACGGTGATCATTTAGGTTTGTAAGTTTTTACTCGTGTGAGTGAGGCTTGATGAACATGTTTGCATACAGGTGTGCACTTGCCCCATTATTTCTGAGTGTAAGTTACTAGGAGCACGACTGCTGGGGACGAAAGGGTGCTTTCAGGGTCTGATATATAATCGTTCAGTTTCCTGCTCGTTGGGTTGTAGGTGTTTGGATTTCCAGCAACAGTTTATGGAAATTCTTGTTTTTTTTCAAAACTTTATCAATGCTAGGTACTTTCAAGTTTTACAAAATTGCTTATGTAACATAATAAAATAGCATCTTGGCGTTTTAATATGCTTTTGAATATTAATTATGCTCACTGTCTTTTCATGTGCTTTTTAGGTTTACTTTTTTTGTTTTGTGAATTTGCCCTTTTTTTCTATGGGTATTCAGTTGTGTTATGGATTTACAAGAGCTTTTTATATAGAAAAGGCTGCTTAATTTTTAAAAAAAATTTATCATGTCTTGCAAAACCTATTTCCAACAGTGCCGTAGACATTTTAAATTTGTTTATGATATTTTGAGGTGTAGAAGTTTTAACTTAAATATAACTCTATTGATCATTTGCTTTATAGTTTCTGATTTTCCAGATGATATATGTACTTATGCTCCCTATTAGTACTTTTATTAGTCTCACTTTTGAATTATTTTAAATTATCTGGAATTGATTTTTTTTGTGTGCAAGGGATGAGGCCCTCATCTCTTTTTTTCTGCTCCTGTATTTGCATTTCTGAAGGAAAACAGTTAAAATTGAGTGTGTAACTAAAAGCAGAGAAGAGGCAAACAGGGGAAGTAGCAATTCCAAATAGGTTCAGAAGTAACTGTAGGACATCCTAGAATCTTTATACCGCTCTACACATGACAGCTCTGCCCAATGATACACAGATAAACAGGCACTTCTGTGAGTAGTGCCCCTTCAGTTTCCTGACAGAGGTGAGAAAAAAAGGCAGTCCTCTCAAGGTTATTGGGCATAATCCTATTTAAACTGGATTGGTAACTTTGGGCCTGTCAATGTTAAAGGGGAGAGGATTTAGTGAAGTTCATTTATTTCTACTTGATTATATAATATTCTAAGTGATTGTATCAGGTCTTAATTTTTTAAATAATTTTCCCTTTTAGGATGCAGCCATATACTTTTCCTCCCACTTCGACTAAGTACCCACCCATCACTTCAAAGTATACTGTGGGCACTCAGACTGATTACCGCGATTCCGAAACTCAAACAGATCCGTATTCTCCAGAATACATAGTGTGTCAGGATTCAGTCCCTGAGCTCTTGACCCTGGCGACTCTGACTTGGGGTGAGTTGGTAATTCCCTTATGTATTTGAAGGTGACAGTCCTGAGAACCATGATAGCTATTGAGTTCCTGGAAATTAAGATCACATAAAGGCAATTAAGTATCTTGCTTCATGGAGCTACTTCACAGACTCCTACTTTTTCTAATACATTTGTTCAAAGAGAGTTACATCTTTTTCACTTAAGGAGGCTTATTGTGCTTCATCCTTGAAGTACAGTAAGTTATATTTTGGCTTAATTTTCCCCCAATCAATGCTCTTTATTTTTTTAGAATAAATTTATTGGGGTAACCATTGATTAATAACATTATATCATTTCCAGGGGTACAGGATTATAATTCAACATCTGTTCTAACTATGGAAGTCTAGTTTCTTTCCATTACCATATACTTGACCAGTTTTACCCACACGTTGCCCTCTCTTCACCCCCTTTCTCCTCTGGTAGCCACTATCTACAAGTTTGTTTTTGTTTATTTTGTTAGGTACTTTTTGATTTATGTTCCACATATGAAAAGGGAATCCTTGTACACTTTTGACAGAAATTTAAGTTAGTGCAGGCATTATCAAAAGTAGTATGGAGGTTCCTTTAAAATTAAGAATGGAAATACCATGTGATCCAGCAATTCCTCTTCTGGGTTTTACCTAAATATATGAAAACCCTTATTTGTAAAGATATATGTACACCTATGTTCACTACAGCATTATTTACCATAGCCAGGACATGGAAACAACCCAAGTATCTGTCCACTGATGGACGACTGGATTAAGTAGATGTGGTATATGTATACAATGGAATACCACTCAGCCATAAAAAGATAAAATATTGCTATCTGTGAATACAAGGATGGGTTTTAAGAGTATTAATTTTGTGATAGCTTTGCTGACCACTCACCTCCTTGTTCTTATTGTTTCTCCTGTTGAATTAAGTCCTTTTCTTTACACATAAACCTTCTTTGAATGTATAATAAATCTCAATATATTACATATGTTATCTTACTTTTCCAAAATATCTTGGAATTTATCAAAGCTCTCTTACATACCTTATTGGATGATTTCTTTTGATACTATCTCCTAAATGCTAATATCTTTCAGAAATTCACTCTAAGAATAATAAAAATCTAAGCCTACATTATGTGAAACTATAAGAATTAAGAGGAGAAAGGACCTTTAGAAATTGTTAGACATTGGCTTATCAAACTCACTTGACTGTAGCTGGGAAACTGAAAACCAGAGAGGCCGACCCCTCCGGGGTCATGGAAATAGTATGCTGCAATGGTTTTTGTTAAAATGAGATCATTTTAATTTTCCCATTGTAATGATTGCTGCAGTCAAATCTGCATGACCAGCAATGAACATACTTATTTGTGAGCTCCAGTTCCGATTCTTGTTTCCTGGCTCACTTTGTGAATCCCGACTAAGCATTCTCTAACCCTTTCCCTTCTGCACTGAACACATTAAAAACATTGTAAAAATTAATGAACACACAGCCATACTTAAAAATAAGAAAGAAAATGTCTATAGTCTAGAAGTGGAGATGTCTCCTTACAGAAATGGCTGGGAACCTATAGTGATGACGAGCAGGGAGCTGGATCTGAGTTACCTGCCTGAACAGAGGAGGCAGAAACTTTGCTCCTGCTCATAGGCAGGACTGACGTCCTGTGCCTGCCCATCTAGGATGATAGCCAGAATTGAGTTAGGTGCTCCTGCCTAGGGCATTGCACTTTACCTCTTGATGTGCTGTGGGCTTAGCATTGAGCTGAGTAGGACAAGTGCCAGGTTCTCTAAAGCAAGAGATCTAGGCAGGGGCTCAGAGGTGTCTCACTAGGCAAAGAAACCCAATCTGGAGACCCGCTCCTGGAAGCACTGAGGTTGGAGTGTCAGTACAACTCTCTCTGAGTCAGGCCTACCCCTTCATCTGTGAGGCCATAGATTCACACAGAGGCCCATGTACTATGTGAATAGAAGTTTAAAAATTATAAATCAAGCTAATATATGTTAAGTAAAACACATTCTGTATTTTTCACAAATAGCGCTTTATTAACATGTTGAAAGGACAAGTTTACATTTGTCATTTATAAACTCCATGTTGGAATGTGGCAGCAGGGGGTGAGACTGCCTATGGCTTGTCCCTTCCTCTGTCTCTGTTTCCATATCATGAAGGGCTTGTCATGCATGCAGGTGATTACCCCACCTCACTTTTCCAATCTCTATTCACACATCTCTGCAAACAGCTGACACTTGGCCACCTGTTGGGCTTAGAGGTGAACAAATAGCAGCATAGTCTGCTCTCAGGAGTCTGAATCCTGGGAAGAGGCCTGTGTAGATTTAGGAGGTGGGCCTGGGACCATCGGTGGAAGGGTCTCGAAGGGTAGGACTAGATCCAGGTGGGCATATTCCCTTGGACTCCTCACATTGTGATGACAAGCGAGGGTCTGAAGAACTTGGCTGCAGAACTTGGCTCCCTCTCGCCAGGTCAAAAAGTATACCTGTTCAGGGTGCTCATGAGAGAAACCTGCAGGTGATTTCAACCCAAGAATTACAAAGCATCTAAGAGAGACACTGGGAGTGATTCACAAAAAATAAAGAAAAAGTTATTGAGCAAACAAAGCAAGTGGAGCAATTTGGAAAAGACTCAGGAAGTACTTTTTAAATCCCCAAAGAGGTGAAGAGGGAAATAATAACAATGAAAACAAGAATGGGAGCTATGAAAAAGAACCAGGTGGAATCATTGGAAGAAATAGTAATTAGCTTCAAACTTGATTAGAAAGCTGTGGGATTAGAAAGAGTGGGGATTTCTGAGTTAAAGGAGAAATATATTGTCTCACAAAAGGTAGAGGGGAAAGAGGAAATAGCAGAGAGCCGATAAGGGGGCTAAAGCAAAGAAAAAACAGTGAAAAGAAGACACATAGTAAGATGTCAAAAAAGTGTTCAATCATTTTAGTAATCAAAATACACAAAAGTGACTTAAACTTGCCTCTTAAAAATATTCTTGGGTTGGACTAATAAAAACACAGCAAAACTAGCTTGCTATTTATAAAATAACACTGAAACTTTGAAAATAAAGAGATGGAAAAATACACTGATAGCTGTGTAACCCAAAGAAAGCCGATGTAACAATGTTAATATTAGACCAAAGTTAATCAGAAAACATTAAAAGGGCAAATGAAGGACATGTAATGCTATAAAAGAATATATCTGTCATGAACTTGTATGTACCCTAGACTCAAAATGTAAAGCAAAAATTGACTGAATTACGAGGAGAAATAGACAAATTCATACTAATGTGGATTTTAATGCCCTTCTCTCAGATGAAGCTAGCAAAAGTTAGTAAGGATTAGGCGATTGAACAAGATGCTTAATGTGCTTCATTCACATAAGAGAGTTTGCGTGTGGCAGGCCATGGCCAGGCCTGCTGCCCGTCTGACTGTGTGGTGAGGAACAGAACGCGGAAATGCTTGGCTGCCACACGGCAACGAAGTAACATGGTTCTGGGCTCCTTTGGCTTGGCAGATTCCTCACTTCACCCATTTACAGTCATTTCATTCATGAGAAAGACAACACTATAATTCAGCAGGGAAAAGGAGGTCTTTTCAAATAAATGGTAATAAAACAATTAGATATTCATGTGCAAAAAAAACCCCAAAACAAAAAAGCTTTGGTTCTGATTCCTACTTCAATGTCGTCCCAGCAAAAAACCAGACATGTGTGTGTGTGTGTGTGTGTGTGAATTGAAGAACTGATTCTAAAATTAATATGGAAATGTCAAAGGGCCAAAAGCACTGAAGACAAATGTGAATAGAACAAATACACACTAACAGATATAAGGACTTACTATAAAGTTGCAGTAACTAAAGAGTGTGGTATAGTCTCAAAGACAAACAAATGTGTTATTGTTATAGAATAGAGTCCAGAAGTTAAATCACAGATATATATCATCTCATTAAAACAAAGATGACACTGAAGTGCAATTGGGGAAAATGGTCTTTTCAGTACGTGGTGCTGAGTCAGATAGTCATCTTGAAAAAAGTGACTCTTGATTCTTATTTCACTCCACAAACCAAAGTCAATCACAGATGTTAAGTGTGAAAGGTGAAACAATAAAACTTTTACATAGAAACATAAAAGAATATTTTCATGACCTTGGGTAGGCAAAGATTTTGTTTATTTTTCATTTTTTAAATATATTTCATTGATTACACTATTACAGTTGTCACATTTTTTTTCCTCTTTACTCCGCTCAGCCCTGTACCCTACATCCCACCATCATTTCCCCACTTTAGTTCATGTCCATGGGTCATACATATAAGTTCTTTGGCTTCTCCATTTTCTATATTATTCTTACCCTCCCCCTGTCTATTTTATACCTATCATTTATGCTTCTTATTCTGTGTACCTTTTCCTCCCTCCTCTCCCTTCCCCACTGATTAGTCTTCATGTGATCTCTATTTCTGTGAATCTGTTCTTGTTCTAGTTGTTTGCTTAGTTAGTTTTTGTTTTTTAGGTTCAGTTGTTGATAGTTGTGAGTTTGTTGTCTTCTTACTGTTTGTAGATTTGATCTTCTTTTTCTTAGGTAAGTCCCTTCAACATTTTATATACTAAGGGCTTGGTGATGATGAACTCCTTTAACTTGACCTTATCTGGGAGCACTTTATCTGCCCTTCCATTCTAAGTATAGCTTTGCTGGATAGAGTAATCTTGTATGTAGGTTCTTGCCTTTCATGTCTTGGAATATTTCGTTCCAGCCCCTTTTTGTCTCCAAGGTTTCTTTTAAGAAATCAGCTGCTTGTCTTATAGGAACTCCTTTGTAGGTAACTGTCTTCTTTTCTCTTTCTGCTTTTAAGATTTTCTCCTTATTTATCATTTTGGGTAAAGTAATGATGATGTACCTCAGTGTGTTCTTCATTGGGTTCAACTTCTTTGGGACTCTCTGAGCTTTCTGGACTTCCTGGAAGTTTATTCCCTTTGCCAGATTGGGGAAGTTCTCCTTCATTATGTTTTTAAATA